TCTTAACGGTTAGGAATTGAATTTTAGTTATTGAAATTAAAAGTTCAGCATACTACCAACAAACCATTCGACTGTTGACGTCTAAACATTTTATCAATACTGATAGATCACATGCTTCTGCAAAAGTCAATTGATATAAGGAAAGAAATTGATACAGATGTATGGCCTAATTACCTTATAATAGCAGGCTTATCGGGTTTGCCATCATCTGTGAGAAGGCTTCCTACACTATTGCTTTCGAAATGACTTAACATTTCTGATATTAGATTTTTCTTCATTTCTCGTTCTTTTCTTTTATTCTCAATCCAAGGTTGAAATACCTGCACAAAAATTTGAAGAGAACAATAACCACCCAAAATTATAATGGTCGGAAAGGAATTTTCATTGTGTTAACGCGTCGTTTTGAACTTGGTCCCATGGTCGTCCAAATGAAGCATTAGTAAACATATATCAGCTTTACACGTTTAAATGCGTGGAGAATCTAATCTATTTTATCCAAGGATGCATATCCAAAGAATTCCATAAGACAAGATTGTTTACCCGATAAATATCTCTCAATGATTTTTGAGAGTAGTATCGTTTATCCATTGCTTTCTTTGCCTCGTCAAGCCATTTGGTGAATCCATTGATGAATTCATCTTTAGTTATTTTTTGGTCACCATCAAGGTCAAATTCTTTCATTACATCTTCTATTGCTTTCTCCTTATTGATGTGTGATCTTGTAAACTTGACTTCTAGAAGTAGTTCTTTAAGTTCCGAGGGTGATATGTAGTCGTTGCCATCTTGGTCTAGTTCCTCGAATAGCCTGCAATGTGCAATTGTTTGATTCCGTTGCCACGAAACAAACAATAAAACACTTCATGAAAACTCACCTCCTTATAGCATTTACATTTGGTGCCCCAACATGTGTTAGGATTCTTTCTATGGCATGTTTTTGCACATGTTGAAGAATTCTTAATATTAAATCTTCATGTTTCACAAATTCCAATCTTCTTTTTTGAATCCATGGCTGGAAAATCTGCAACATTGCTCAAGAGGGCAAAGTCCAATAAGTAAAAAGAACAGAGCATGTTAAAAGCACTACCCCAGCTTCCTATAGTATTACATGGAAGATATAGGGGTGGTAAACAAATTGAATATGAACGATTTTTATTATGTTTGTTTAATTAACAAATATTAAAATATTATTAGTGATTGTTTGTTAAGCTTAATAAATAAATAAAAATCAAATATGTTCACGAACTATTCATCAAGTGCTACATTATTTTACACTCTCAAGTGTAAGTGAACAAAACGTTTTGAATTTTCTCCTTTTAGCCCCCCTTGCCTGCATGCCTAGACTAAAACTTGAACTTCTATTGTTCTCAAAGACGATCAGAGGACAGAAGAGTTTTTTTTTTTTTTTTTTCATTCTTATTTTTATTTAAATAATATTGTGCTTGAATTGGGGAATCTCATACCTGATAGCAGAAGAACAGGAGTAAGAATAGAACTGAAATTGTAAGAGCAATCAAGATCACTGGTGTCTTTGCAGAAGAAGAAGGAATAATTTTCAAGAGTTGAATGATTAAAAATGGTGTCACAGAGAAAACCATGATCCTGGCAGTGTAGCTAGTCTCTTGGTCAGTGGTAATTCCAAACCCTATAAACCAATAACACAATAAAAATTAAATGAATTTGAAAAAAAAATGATATAAAAAATGATAGATTGAGCTTACTGGTTAATAAATGTTGTAATCTGTTAAATGATAAAATTCTAGAGTTTGAATTGGTAGAGAGGATGGAATACTGTGCTCCAATGTAAAGATCTTGACTTCCAACAATCAAACAAGTTCCCCAAACTATAGTTAGAAGCAAAATTGAAGAGCCAGCTAACAAGCCAACTCCCGTGTAAACATACTCTTCTGCAACTTCTTTAGTGTTCATGAGTCCAGAAACTGAAAGAAATTAATGGAAATTAAAAGAAAATTAGAAAGAGGCCAGGATTGCAAATGTTTGGATTTAAACTCTAGAATATTACTTTTTCACATAATTGCATGAACCGATAGAATTAAATTTTGGGTTCATCTAGTTAGCTACTTGAATATTAATATTACTGGATGTGTAATTTATTTACTATTTAATGAACCAGTTATACCTTGCAAAAGTGAGAAAATGAATAAAAGGCTATAAATTTCAGAAACATTTAATTTTGACAAAATAATTTCTTTCTAGAAGGGTAGATTGCACCAATAGCTAGCTAATTGAAAAGAAAATAAGAATAAGACATTATTTTAATTAGTTAATTTGAAAATCAACATAATTAGGTGAAATTATCATGTGTATTGATATCCTATAGTGGCAATTTGCGTGTTAATTTCAATTTTGAATGCCTCCAATCTTGAAAAATAGGTATATATTTGGACCAAAAGATCTCCAATTTTAAAAAATAGTTATATATTTGGACCAAAAGATCTATGCTAGCTGTTAATATTATTTTGTAGTTATCTATTTGGTTGCGCTTATCACAAGTTAAACGTGTCTTAAGACTCTTCTGTGATTTGGCTTTATATGATATGGCCAATTAACTTCTAGCTTTATAACAACCAATTAAGAGTAATTTTAGGTTAAAATTAATAAGATTATAGATGCATGGACCGAAAAGGGATTAAGCATAAGCAAAACTTAAGAATACTCCTGATCATATTCATGGAATAAGGGAATGATGCACTCTTAATAATTGAAATGATCTTTTAGATTTGATTGGTCTGGATATTGCTTCCACAACTCTAATATTAGGTTATTTAGATTGAACTTAATCAGACGTGCCAACCAGTCATGAGCTAAATCGATCATATATTGAATATTAAAATGCAAATAAATAATAATCTAGCATTGACTCAAACATTTCTTACAGGTTGATATAGGTATCTGAAGTTTATTCTATTCTTAATTCAGTAAGCAGGATTCAATCGCTGACGGCCTTAAATACAATATATATGTTTATTGATCGTGTTAATTAATTGAAGTATATGGCCAGGCTCCCAGCCAAATTTAAAATTATTAAAATATTGGTAAATTTTAGCTGTTCAGAGGGTATGAATGATAAGAAAAAGATGAAGAATATGAAGAACATATTGGTGATAAAATTAGGTTATGAATGATAAGAAAGAGATGAAGAATATGAAGAAAATTCAGGCATACCGAGAAGTATCAAGGCCTCAGGAAGGGCACCGAGGATGTGAAATGCACTTGCACCAAAGAAACCAGGCCCAAGAATCTTGAATATCTGCTCACCACCTGAAGCCAGATAGGATTCTCCATGGAAAAGTAGATATTCATACACCAAAATCAGGAAGAGATGCCCATATATGCTATTTGAACATGGCAAGAAACCATACATCTGCTCACACTCGGAAGAAGAACCCGTTTCTTTGAGAAACAATTTGGAAGAATGGTTGGCCTGAACATGATCAATTCCATCTGAAACCAATTGAAGAGAGGTTTGTGGAAGAGGACGAGCTTTAACAACAATGATTACTATGAAAAGAGCTGGAAGAAAGTGTATAGTTTTTGCAATGTTCCTCATTTGGTGCTAGATTGAAGAAAGTGGTGGATGAGGAGAAAAAGCCTGGATAAAAAAGATATTGCCTCTTCTGGTAAATTATATTGAAGTTTCAAGTCAATGTAGATCAAGTTAAAGTTTATCAACTAATACTTCAAGTCAATAATATTGAAGTTTCAAGCCATCGCTAGTAGCTCAAACTAAAGTTTATCAACCAATGCTTCATGTTAACATACGTCAATATCTAAAAGTCAACGTTTTAATTATTTATTAATTAGTATAAGGTTTCTTCTGATATAGTATTGAATTTTATATCTCGAAAAATAACATTCTTGATTAAAACTTGTCTTACAATAAACTTGAGCCTATGGCTATAATACCTTAAAAACTATTTTATAAACTTGACTTGGTGGAAAGGAATTTCACCGTGCCATTACGTTGTTGTGGGACCCTTAACCGATCATCCCATTGAAGCATAGAGTGGTCACATTTGGAAAGAGAGATTTGGAAAATGGACCGTACATACGTTATTTTCCCCTTATCCTTGGATGCAATTACGGGAAAGAGGATAAGGTTATACAGACATCCTATTTTATTCAGAATCATTTTAAATATTCCAGAGTCTCGAGTTACCATTGAGATATTGATTTATAATGGTCTAGGTTTTAAGATTTTAATTGGGCTTTAGGCTAACTTGTTTACTTTTGAATTTACCATTTGAATTTTGGGTTTCGTTTGGATTTTAAACCCAAACCAAGCCCAAGTACTCTTGTGTAATTGTTTTTATTTATTTGTTTATTTTACATTTATTATTATATTTTTTAAAATTGCCAAAAAAAAAAAAAAAGAGAAAAAGGATAAACAAAATGATAATCTATGATTTTGAATTTGGATTTGGATTAAATTTTTTTTGAAGATAAAAGTTATTGGATTAAAGTTGAAATTAAAAGAGATAGTGTAGGACAATCCCATGGAATCGAATCCCATTTTTATCTTGACTTCTGCTGAGACTCAATCGTTATTTACGCAGTACAATCAAGTACAGTCAATGGGGGGAGAAAAAAATTCCAGCCAACCATAGCAGCATCGCCACCACCACTGTACAGAACCACCAGTTTAGTACCGCCATTACCTCTCTAACTCCCACATCAACAGCAATCCACCCTTACTGACACAGTCCACCACTTGCTATCCTTCTACTATCTTTCGCCAATCACCCCATCCACTCTACGACCTTCATAACCTTCACCAACCCCAACCACCTATGCTGCTTGACTGCCTGAGGATGATCACCATCAGCAATGCCCGAGGACCCTTCTCACAGCCTACAACCAGTGTTTAAAGCCTTAAAAAGGGAAAATCCCAACCCTCAAATCCTTTTCATTACCAGTTAAACAACAGCACGTGCACACAATCAAAGGCGGACAATAATAACACAAAGCAAACACCACAATAGCCCTCCACTGTTGAGATCCGGTCCTACCACCATCATCAGATACTCGCCAAAAGGCCGTCCGTAAGCCATGTCGCAACAAAAAAATAAGCAAACATGGGCGGCAAACAGAGAGGAATTACACGCTTTTGGTTAAAGGATTTTCGTGGATTTCTGGACATAAAAGCAAATAAAGCAAAGCATTAGAATAAGGCGGTTAAATTAGCAAATCCACTGCTGACGACCATAACAGTAGCAGAATGTCAGTGATCGGCTGGAAGTGACTTGAGCATTTGAGAATTCGAAAGGTCAAAAGGAAGAGGAGGATGAGGACAACAACATAGTGAAAACTTAGCTCCATCCGACGGTGGGAAGAAGAGAAATGATGATTAAAAGGGCATAACTTTGAGCTCAAATTTATGAAGTTGTAATGAGTTTCTGAAGAAACCAACTAGATCACACAAAGAGGAGACCAGGGTGAACTACCGGGTGAAATTTAGGTGTCAACGGAGGTTGGCAGGTAATGGCTCACGATGGCGGCGGCGAGATAGACGACGACCATTTTAGAGAGAAACGAGAGCGTAGGGTTTGTAGAGAGAGAAAGTTGTAGAAAATAAGAACTTGAATTTTTTTTTTTTTTTGGACTTACATAGAAGCCTTAAGTGTTGCGTTTTGGCAATTGACCCATGGGTCAGGTCCGCCCGACCCAACCCACTCCTCCAGGCTCCTGAATTTTCACGAAAATCGACCTGGAGTGAGTTAGACTGTTTCGAACCGAAAAAAACTATACAAAATACAACCAAACCATTAGTCAACCGGTTTGAACCGGATCAAACCGCTTGAACTAACCGATTCAGCTTAAGCTGTTGACCAAAGGTGACTTTTCTGATTTTGGGTATTTTTCCTTTTTTTCCTTTATTCTTTATTTTTTTATTTTTTATATATAGATTAGAAATATTTCTAACAGATTTGATTAGTGGAAAATAAATGAGATTAAGAATGGTTTGAAATTCAAATTTTGGAGGGTTAAATTATTTTCTAAAAAATAATTATTTTTTATTCTTATCAAATTATTAGAGAATAAATTCAAAATTAAATTGTACTAAACTATTGAAAGGTTTAATTATCTTATAAAAAATTTTAATTCTATCAAACTATTAGAGGATTTAAATTTTAAATCTTTTATACTATGATCAATTCCGAAATTAGTTCTATATATATGACCAGCAACAAAAAAAAAAAGAAATGCAATAGCTAAATGATGGTATATAATATCAATCATAAACTTTGCGTTTGTGGATGGAATCCCTTGAGAATGCTTAGAATGGTAGTTCCTGATCCTTGGGAGGTACCAAATAAATGATTACTTGAATCGGGGATTTGAGCATAAATATGAGTTAAATCTTACAAAATTATTGAAAGATTTAATGATTTTTCTTAAGATAAATTCATAAATAGATTTTCAAATAAAAATTGCATCAAATTATTAGAGGATGTGCATCGAAATAAAATCTTATCAAATTATTGAAAAGTTTTATTGATTTTGAAAATAATTAATTTCTTGAAGGCACATTAATGAATCCGATGATGGAGTATCTTCAAAGCAAGACACTAGTCTCTATGAATACTCTTGAAATTAGAAAATTTTTTTAATTTGTTGTTAAACTATTGGAGTAATTTTAAGGTTAATTTTTTATATTAAATTTATTTGCTAAAATTATAAAAATATTTTAAGATTTTGGATAACATGAATTCAATTGATACTATCATTCGAATATGCATTAATATATTATAACTTTTCTCACACGTAACCATACTCCCGAATCTAGTTTTAGTTTTATAGACTAGAGTCTACCTTTTTAAATATATTTGAGTCAAGCTTGGGACTTTTCTTTAAAAGAGAATATATTAAGTTAAGTGACTAATCGTACTTGAATAAAAAAAAATTGGTGATGACTCTTAAAATTGTGTCTAGCGATAGGTTTACAACTTATATGTTATGACAATTTGGTAACTTTATTAGGGAATGCTAAGAGTAAGGCTAGCAAATGAGTTCGTGTTATCCAAGCCGAACTTAATAAGTTTAATTATTTTTAAAATTTTTTAATTATATTTTATTTAATTTTAACCATGTAATATTACGTTATTTATTTGCATTTCATGACATGCGCTTTATACTCAAGCTTTGTCCCTTAAAGGAGTAAAAATACTCACGTTTTAATGAGATTTTATATTCTATATAAGCTAGTGAAATAGTTTCACCCAAATTGAACCTTTTTCATTTATAGTCTATGATGGCAAGAATTGAGGTGCTTTACTAGTCTGTCATGAATAAGAATTTGACGAGCAATTTGGGAACCCTTAAATTGTGAATCCAAAATACATATAGTAAAATATAAGAAGCCAACCTTGGGTTAGAGCCATATTTACCGATCATTAGAATATAATCCTAATTAAGACATGTGAGTGGACTTTTCAAGTTTCATTTGTATCAACCTTTTGAAACATTGAGAAATTTTATTTGGTCTCTTATTGTTAAGTTGTTATATGTTAGACTTTAATGCAATATCATTAACATATACATTCACCCATACAAAATGGATTTATTCATAGAGAGCTTCAAATCCGATCTTCACAATTCAGAATGTAAAACTCTGAATTATAAATCTATTGATAAAATTTTAGCTCAATCAAACTATAGATCAACTTTCGTTCAACCAACTCTCTTTTTTTTTTCTCTATTTTTCCCGGTTTTTCTTTTTTCTTTTCTTGGTTTGCGACACCATTTTAAAACAGCCTCACTTTTTTTTATTAAGTAGTTAAGACTTTATATAAAAAAAAAAAAGACCAAGGCCTATAGCCTTTGATTAGTACAAATCTAATTACATGAGACTGAACCCCACTTTCCTAACACAGAATTCAAATTTTAATGCTTTGAAAAATAAATAAATAAATATATATGGCATCATATATACAAAAATTATTCAATGGGTGCTTTATTTATTAAAATTTTCACCATTCATCAACTATCAAATGAATTTTTTATGATTATTAATTTTAATTAGTTAATTTTTTTTTTTTACATATATTAGTCATCTAGCTTTTAAACTTTATGATCAATCAATTGGTTTTTACTTTCAAGTTTAATATTTTTACATATGCATATACATAAAAAGTTAAACATATAAATTTCTACATAAATAAAAAATAAATTATTTAAAGATATTTTTGACAAAAAATCTAAAAGATTTTTAATAATAAAATTTATAAATTTAGTTGATAAAAAATTTATCATGCATCTCTCTCAATCATTTGCCAATTTTTTGTCAAGAGAAGAGCTAAAGGAAAAAGACTGATTAACCCAATCATATGTGGTCAACTTTGGGTTAAAAACAAAACAAAATACAATGCCGCCTCGGGTGTAGTAATTTATCATTTTAATATTCCTAAACAAATAATTCGTGAACATAAAACAAAATTAATATAAAAAGAAGAGAAGAGAAATCAGTTTTTTTTTCTTTCTTTTGACAAACAATCGGACACTAACCACCAGTTGTCACTGACAGAACCCCACACCTTCAAGTATCCACCATGTTTTGCCTCCTACAATTTTAAAAAATATTAAACTATTTATTATCACCATAAATTAAAAAAAAAAAAGACAAATCTTCCCTCCAAAAGAACAACAAATTAAACCCTAACCCTAAAAAAAATAAATTGTCACTCTCCTATCTTAGCATTTCACATGTCCCTTTTCTTAGCCCTTCAAATTTTTGTCCAAGGGACCCTATACTATATAGAAAGACAGCAAGTGGGAAACAAATCACGTGAAAACCTAAGTGCCTTCCCAATTGTTAGATAGCCTCATCGGGTTTTTTCCATTTTGCACCACAGCTTTTCATTGCCTTTCCTTTGATTCTTAGCTATCTCTTTCTCTGATCAACTTATAAGTTGTTCTTCATTCTGTAGCAGCCGTGGCGGCGGCTACTGTTGTTGTTGTTGCATTGGTGCATGGTGGTTGTTATTGATGGTGGTGGTGCTAGTGCTAATTTTCTTGAGGCTTTGTTGTTGTTGATATACTTGTCTTAGTCTCTCAATTTCCTTCTTCAGTGCTTCTTGATGAGCTGATCAAAGATTTAAAACATTTAAATAAAATTGGATAAATCGATTAACTTCATAATATATGTAATTATTCGGTAATGTATTAAATATAAACAAGTGATACATAACATTAAAGCAATATTTAACAAGCAAATATCCCTTCCAAAAAGTTTGAAACTCAAAATATAATGCCACCTTTTGAGATAGAATTAAAATGTCCTACATATATAATACATCCAAAATAAGGAAATTTGGCATGCTATATGAAAATAAAATATGCCACAGACTTTATATAAAATTCTTTCTAATAATAGCATTGAAGAAAATATCTTAAGAAAAGGACTGTCATTGGTTACTATTACTAATATTATAATTTACTTCAGATTCACACATCTTTCAATATAAAATGTTTTACTCATCTAGAAATAAACAGTAAAAAAAGCAAAGTGCATAGGGTAGGAATAAATGTTTTCCACTACATGAAATGGAAAAAGGGGGTTCTAATGAAGATCCAAAGGTTTAAATTCAACATCTCTGGAATTTGCATTTGGAGAATTCAAGAAGGAAAAGACTTTATCTTCTTAATTTTGGTCAAGCAATTTTTTTTTTTTAAATCCAGGAAAATTAGTAAAGAAAAATTTACAAATACTAGAGATCAGATATCAGTCTATGAGAATTCACTTCCTAAGAGAAGTGAGTGATCAGCAATTTGGATTAAGTTTCAGATTCTTGATCAAGATATTTTGAAACTTCTAAAAATGATTTATGAGTGTAAAAGTGTGAATTGAAATAATAATGTGTAATTAATACAAGAAACAACTAGTATTTTGGGTTTTTTTTTTTTTTTTAATGAAATTACTAGTATTTTGTTAAGGTAGGAAACTATTATGAGCAAGAAAGTGTGAACTTTTATCAGAAAAATGGAAAGAAACAAAAGAACTAATTATAAAAAGTAACAATTATTGTCTAGTGGGTCAGCTTTAAGTTTGACACCATAATTATGATATGGAACTTACATGCCTCCATATATGAGGGATGGAAAAGCACAAAATTTACCTTCAAAATTACTATTTCCATGTTTCATTTAAGAAAGAAACCATGTTTAATTAATTAAAATTGTAATACTAATTAATAATTAATGGAAAAATCATACCATCTTTGAAAATCTTGTCTTGAGCCAAAGCAGCAATCCTTTGCTTTAAAGCACTATTGTCAACATTGAGAATCAATCTTTGATGATCCAAAAATGCAACCCTTGGTGATAATGCTGATACTTCAGTCTTCATTTTGTATCAAAGAAAAGAAAACAAATTTAAAGAAAAAATCATAAAAAAATATTTTAAAAATTGCAACTAAAAATCCTTTTAAATAAACTATTTATATAAAAGAATTATCAAAATTACAAATTAGTATAGTTTATATAATTATGTATAGTAATTTTAAATCAAAATTAATTAATTATTTAATAAATCTAAAACTTCATTATCTGGATTATAACATCTAACAGATCTAAAATTTAAATTATGTAACTTTTTTTTATTTCAACCTGCAACCCTTTTGTATCAACAAAAATTAATTAATTTATATATAAATTTTTTTATGCATGTACCTGTAATGTTGTTACGCTCCTTTCAAGTTCTGAAACATATTGCAGCTTTCTCACTCTTGATTTTTGAGCTGATTGCCGGTTTGCCAGAATTCTGATCATCACCCAAGATAAATAAAATTAGTTGTTTGGATAACGTAATTAAAGAATTTTTAGCTGAAGCCTGCAAATTAAAAATTTCATTGTTGCGAGCTGTTTAAGTACAATGGGTTTTAATTTTTGCTATTGTTTGATTTGTTGTTCTTACCTCTTAACCCTCTTTGGATCAATGATTGGATCGCCATTGGAGGTCGTTGGAGGTTGTGGTTCAGGTAATTCACAAGAGCTCTCTACCTCTCCTGGTTCAGTTTTTGGCTGTTGCAGATCCAAGGATGGAACTGGCTTCTCATCATTGTTGCTATTTTGATCAGACGTCGGCGTTGAAGGGTTGGATGAAGGTACCGTTGGCGCCGGCACGGTCACGACGACGTCGTCCGAGAACATGGACATGAGCTGCTCATCATCCAGGCGATCAAACACATTTGTTTCTGTCATCATGGCTCTTGACTCATCCCCACATTCTTCCTCTAATGGTTGCTCGAGGAAGGCTATCGAGTCGCTTATGGAACGACGGCGTGCCCCACGACGTGCCGACGAGAATTCGAGGAACTCGTCAACCCATGAGGGCTGGTGGTTTCGATTGTTAGAATCATTCACAATGGCGGTGGCGGTGGAAATGAAGTTTGCCTTTGTGGGCATTGTTTGATGAGGAAAAGATGGCCAATTTTGAGTCATGTTGGGTATTTTCGGAGGTAATTGTGCCATTCTAAGCTAATGTCACAAAACCACACTCAATATAAAGAAAAAAATTATGGGTGTCTATACCACTATATATATATATATATATATTTATTAGATATATTAATTTTAAATATAATTAGATGACATTTAAAAAATATATATAAAAATAACACGATTCAAAATTTTAATAAAATTATATATAAATTTATAAAAAATAAAAAAATATATTTAATATTTAATTTATTGACATAAATTATAATATAATAATTTTTATATTTTATATATATTAAATATAAATAAATAAACATAAATATATCAATTATTAAATCTAATATTCATATGAAGGACATTTAATAAATCAAAATTTTAAATTTTAATACTTATAATTTTTCTTTTATTTTTAAAGTTGATTTTTTTATAACAATAATTTAATATTCATGAGTACGAAAACCAAAGCTAATCTTAATCAACAAAAACTAACAACTAACTAGACAAACCAACACAACAAGATGTGATGATCCAAAACAAAAATCATATCACAATCTTTAAGGCAATGATATACTATATTTCTTTCTCTTTAGCCATTTTTTTTACAATGGGATTTGAGTCATTTATATATATATATATATATATATATATAATTTACTTTTTTTATTTCAAGGACCCCAAAGGCTTTGGAGAGGGGTAGTGGGTCACATGGGAGGAGATTTAGGACAGCTAGCAACAGCTGGTGTTGGGGTCGGAGGGAGAGAGGGGTTTCTTCCACTGGGAAAGTCGCAGTGTGAGTTTAATAACTGGAGGAATCAGTACCACCACATGCCGATTTGACCTCCTTCCTTGCCCTTGGCATCAACTGTATATTTTTTTACATAAAAAACATTATCTAATCTTTCCAGCATAAGCTATCTACATTTCTTTATTATATGCCCTTTTTTTCTTTTTCTTTTTTTATTTTAATTTTGGATGAGCCCTACACATCCACAAGTTCTTTGGCATTGATTTTCATTGACTATATATATCTCCTTGCACACATATTTAATTTATTTAAGTTTGATTTGGATTCCTAAAAAGAAAATTTCAATCATAAAATATAATTTTTCGATCAAATAAAATGGCCCTCGTCATGTATTTAAATTAGATTTTAATTATAAAAGAATTAAAATTTATTTATCGATATGCATAAATTTATGAATTATTAGTTTATATACTGATAGTAAATTTTTTTTTTCAAATATGTTTAATCTATATATACCAATATATATATATAGATGGCCCATGTCTTGGATATTTTAATTTGGAATTATACTTATTCAGAACCATTCAATAAATTCTATATCTTTTGTGTGGTACCAAATTGATGGTAAATTATTGTTATTGAAAGTTGCTGACAAACTTAGGTTAAAAGAGCAGAAAAAAGATATAAATCAATTTCGTATAACAATAACTAGATGTGAAACAAGAAAAAAAGTTTTATTAAGACTAGCATGTAATTAGAAGGGTTTCCGAGTAAAAGATCACTAATTATTCCATTTATCTTTACATACGTAAATGCATGTATCTGTAAAATCAATACTTTATAAATTAAAACGTGAAATTTAATTAATTAATTCATATAATTATCTTTAAAAGATAATTTTTTATATTTTTTTATATTCAAGTATTAATATCTAGGATTGTTCTTCTATTTTTAAATTATGATTTTCTTTGTAAAAAATTACAAATTGGGTACAAGCCATTTTGTTGACATGGGGAATAAATTCTAATGGAAGAATGTACTTATATATATATAAATATATATGGGAAAATATATAGGAGTTTGGGGTATGGATGAGCTGTGAAAGAAAGTGAGCTTTTAAGAATCATGTCCTCCTTTCCATGTGAACTATTTGTAACAGCCAACCCATTTCTTTGCTTTGTCCCAAACCATACTCACAAGGAGGGTAATGTGGAACTTTTTTTTTTCTCTCTCTCTCTCTTTCTCAAGTTTCTTGATATCTTTTTAGTAATTTAAAAATATAATAATACATTATAAATATAATATTAAAATAAAATATAAAATGATATAATTTAAAATTATAATAATAATTATATATAAATTTAATAAAATAAAAAATTATATTTTATATGAATTATAACAAATAATTTTTATATAAAATATAATATAAATATATAAATTTTAATATTTTATATGATACAAATATACGAATTATTATATCTACTTCAACAAGATAGCATTTATGTTGAGGTTCTTTTTATAATCAAAAGTGCTAAAGAAACACCAATCATGATTAGTTGAAAAGTTTAACAAGGCATGTTCAGTACCCCCTCTGTCAAGTAAAAGTTTGTCCCCAATTATTTTTATCCAAAATTTTTTTTTATAATGTACTTGTAAATTCACCAACTTGACCACTTTGATGTCATTAAGTACTTAATTACACTTTAATGTGTTTAATTAACAATTAAAATAACTCAAAGTATAGGACCCAGCTGGCTGGAATCAAATGTTGTATACTGTTAATTAATGCATTCTTTTATCATTATCACAATTAGAAAATTAACTATCATACTTGATTTTTTTATACAATTAAGCGTATTTTTAAATTTTATTATTTAATTTTTTTAACGATTTTAAGAATAAATTTCTTGTATCTACATAATAGAAGAATAATTTAACAGAAAAAATAGTCAAATTGTTAATTCTTCTAATAAAATTGTCATGTGTTAGCTAGGCAGGAAAAATTGGAATAATTTTCAAGCATTTTAAACCATCATATTATATTTAAGAAAAAAAAAAAAGCAAAGGAAAATAGAGTAACCTGGAGAGGAATTTTAAAAGGCAAAAATCAGTCATTGTCATGTTCCAAGGCAGGAAAAATTGGCAGCTTTTTATGTTTATTCCCTGCATTGATAAAAATGGATTTGCATGTGCAAACCATGACTACTACTATCAATAACAGAAAATTCTGCTTTTTTTTTTATTTTTTTCGATACAATTTTTGGGATCCCAAAAATTATTCAAGTGCCGTGCAGAAGATTGAAGAGCGAAAGGGAAAAGACTGGTGAAATTGGGTGCAGAAGAAAGCAGTATTGCACGTGGGAGGAGGGAAACTAAAGGCCTACTTTGTTCAATAATAATAATAATAATAACCCAAAAAAAGACGTCTAAAAATTACAGTAAAAAAAGAAATTAAAAAAAAAATGTTGTAAATGTAAGTAGTTAACTTCATTTTAAGTTGCCTTCTATTGAAATATAATTAATTTTTATTTGATTTAACTGTTATTTTTGTTTTCGAGGAAAGAAAGGAATGAAATTAAAGAATGGATATTTTTAAAACAACTTTTGTGGCTTCACAAATTTTTATTTATACGTCGAACAGATTTTGTTAATAATTTTATCAATTGGGTCAATTTGTGATTAATTGAATCGAAGAACAATTAGGATTTTATCAATTCAGTCAACCTGTGGATGGTAAAAGGTATCCTTAGGGTTTCAACCATGGACATTTCTGCATAGTTTTTAGGATAGGCCATATGGCCTTCCAACCTTTTCCGATATGGTTCAACTTGAGAGATCGATTGAAATGCTTCCATCACACTTGAAGGAACCTATACTGAACCATCCTTAGCCAGTGTGCAGGCCAAGGAAGCTACCGGGACCTGGAAGTATAGACTTAGTTTTGAAACGAACTTTTAAATTCAAAGATTTGAATAAAGTTTTATTTAGTTGATCGATGAGATTCAATTTCAAAATAATGTGATAGCGTAATAAAAATATTTTTTCTATCAATCACTCAAATGAAATATAAGTCAATACTCAAAAATATTTTACGAGGACTTCGGAATTTAGAAATTAGGTAAATACCTTAATTAAGAAGTGCAATATTGAGACTTGGCAAATTAGATGGTAGATAGCTATGTATAGTCTCAAGAGGGAGTTCAAGTTCTTTGAAGAATGGAAACATAATGTCATTCTTCTTGAAGGAAGTCTTTTGAAGTTAGGTAATGTATGCTTATTTATGTTAGATGGATTTCAGATAGTGTTGGATATGAGTATGTTGCGCCTGAAGCAATAATCACAACAATATAGAAGCAATAAACAACAATCAATAATCAAAGACGTAGGAAAAATAAAGCACATCAAGATTTACGTGAAAAACCCTCCAGTGTAAAGGGAAAAAATCACGGACTACCAAAAAAATCTTCACTATCAAATAATAAGTATACAAAGTTCTTATCTAGCTAAAACTAGAGCTAATCAACAACTAGAGAAACAATTGGAGAAATCTCACCAAATAAGTGACTCAACAAATATACCCTGGATTTATTCCTAGAGAGCTTCAAACCCGATCTTCACCGTTCAGAATGTAAAACTCTGAATCATAAACCTCCTGACAAGGTTCCAACTCAATCAGACCACGGATCGACTTCCGTTCAACCAACTCTCCCTTCTCTTTTTTTTTTGCTTTTCCTGGCTTTTCTTCTTTCTCTACTTGGTTTTCAACACACACTTAAAACAACCCCATCTCTTTTTTATTAAGTAGCTAGGGCTCTATGTAAAATGAAAGATCAAGGCCTATGGCCTTTACTTGATCCAAAACCACTTACATGGGGTTGGACCCCATTTTCCTAACAATCTCCCCCTCTAGTCCCATTAGGAGGAGATTCATCATCATAGCAGTTTCATTTGGAACTGACTTTGGCCAGGGAACTCATTTCGACCAAGTTACTGCAAAGCTCAAGCTTTTTCCTAGGAAGTATCTTAGTTAACATATCTGTTATATTCTTATCAATATGAACTTTCTTCAATAACATCTGCTGTTCTTCAATCACTGAACGTAACCAATGATATCTAACATCAATGTGCTTTGTTCTAGCATGGTACATGATATTCTTACTCAAATCTAAAGCACTCTGGCTATCACAAAATACCACATACTCTTTCTGATTCAACCCCAATTCAAGAAGAAAACGTTTCATCCAAAGCATTTATTTACATGCTTCAGTTACTGTAATATACTCAGCCT